GGCCTGCGCCACCGGGCCCTGCCCGCGTGGTGTTGGCGGCGGCGGCGGCCGTCCCTTCCCCGCGCGCGGTGCCACGGCTCGGGTGGTGGCGTCCCGCGGCGGTGCTCCTCGGTCCATGGTGATTCCGGCAGCGGCGGCTGCTCCAGGCGGCGCAGCTCCGGGTGGCCTAGAGGCGGCGGCGCAGCCCCTTGGCGGCGCGCTGGCGCGGTGGATGGTGGCGGCGCCCGCCCGGCCCAGATCTGGGCCCTTTTGGGCCTCATCTGGATCTGGGCGGGCCTGACTCGGTCTCGCCTGCGGCGGCTCCGGCCGGGGCGGTGGTGGTGCGGCTCGTGCGGGGGGTGGTGGAGACGGCGGCACGTCTACTGCAGCTCGGCGACGGGTGCTTCACGAGCCCCTTTTGGGCTTGGCCGGGCCTCGAGGGCCTGGTACGCTCCCCTTGCCGCGTCCGGTCGGTGACCGCCGATGGCGGTGGAGGTTGTGTCCCCCGGCGTGGCTGCTCTCGCTGCCGTTCCTCGTTCCCGGCTGCTCCCTTTCGTCCTTGTCGGTCTCGCTTCGTTGACCACGGTGAAGCGGCGGTGATGATGGCAAGTCCGTGGTGGCGCACGTTCGTGGGTGGCTTGTCTGGTGGTGCGCGTCGGACCGTTCGGGATTGTGGGTGTTTGGCGGATGGGAGAAATCCGGGCCGGCTTGCCGGCCCCGACGCGGTGACGCCCGTGGGCGCCATCGTTCCTTCCTGAAGGGCGTCGGGTCTTCCCCTTCCCCACGCCTCTCCGCGTACCGGGGGAAACCCTAGGACCTGTCCGGGCAGTAGCGTCGTCGTCGTCGTGTTCCTTCCTGAAGGTGCTGCTTGGTATGCGGAGGTTCGAGGTGCCTGGAGCGAGGTGGTACATCTCCGGTGGGCGCAACGGTTTTGGGTTATCATCGTTTTCGTCGATCCGACGCTGTGGACATTATTTTCTCTCTTCTTTCTCTTTTGTTTCTTTTGGGCATGCTTGTGCTGTTTGCCCCAGCATTGGACTCTTTGTTGTATCGGGCGGTTGCTATATCAATATAGCGGGGCGAAAGCCTTTTTCGGTAAAATTTTATGCATAGTTGGCCTAATAATTTCGTCTTTTTTTTTCTGTTACCATTGATGTAAATATTGTACCTTACAAATTTGATACAAAGATTGTATTGGGGGGGATTTTACCACTGTTGCTGGTCAGAAAACATGATGACCCGAAGTCTCGCTTGGATTGTTGAGGAGAAGGGCAGGAAGACGATGATAAACTTCAATGAGAACCACTACAGCATGTATAACAACATAATTTGTCTTTAGTTATGATAGCCACATGCATAGTTACTGTGTTCAGCTTCAGCATCATGGGCATAAAAGAGCAACAGTGCGCTCCCAAACTCCTCAGAGAAGGTCTTATGCAAACATTCGATCGTTTAGAGCTTGCAATCCCCACTTTGTACAGACCATGTTCAGTAGTCATGCCCCTGTAAATGTAATGTATTCAGACTTGTGAAGCAACTAAAGCAGATCATCAGGCTCTGGATTGCACTTACACTTCATCGGTTAACGAAATCGGGAATTTCCAGCACCATGAACACGAGCAAGACCAAACAACCTGGCCAATTCATGAGGGCCATTGTTCAGTAAGGCAGGCAGTTGCAGCCTAAGCTCTGGATTGAGGAACGGAAGAGACAGGCCAGGTTAGGGTGAGCGTGCAGACCTGATGCCGAGACTCGCTGGTGCCGCCGGCGGCGTGGAGGGCTCGCCTCTTCGCGTCCGTTCGTCGGCGAGGCGGCGGCGGCGCTTGTTGATCGATGCGCCCCGAGCGGAGCAACTGGGCTGACGTCCGGGCCTTGCTATACACGCTGAAGTGAACAGGCCCAGGCCGAGACACTGTTGGCCCAAGTCAGCCCATGTACAAGTGAGACGAGTGAACTGACCTACTGAGCCAGCAGCCGTCTCAGACCAGACCAAGGGCCAGTTCTAATTATATAGGATTGTAAAAAATATAAGGAGTGGCGGTTCTGGGAGAAGCTCGAGGGAGAATCGCTCAAAAGAACTGACCCCAAAAGCTTCGAGTTTCCGGGACCGCCCACCGCCGCCACCACCGCCCTGCCGCCGAGGACGCCGGCGGCGGCTTCAGCCCGCCAACGCGTCGCCGTCACCTTCGATCTCCACCGCCCGCCCCCACCGCCCGTCTGCAAGGCCTGCAATCTCTCCCCTCCACCCTCGTCCAAACCCTAGGTAGCTTCATTTCTCCTTAGTAATCTGTTCATTTTTTCCTCTCGCGTGTGTCTTTTGTTCAGCGCTTTTGCCTGTACGAATATCTTACTGTTGGTAGCGCCAGAGTTGGGTGCGAGATCATTTGATTCCGGACAGTAGGAGTAAATTGTTTTTTTGGGCGGAAAGCAGAGTGTTTCTTGTACAAATGTATGTACGGAATATAGTTTGGTATGCTGGCGTTGTTGCATATGTTGGGCATAGTTATCCATTTCATTTGCTCGTATTCTGAGTTTGATCTGGTGAAGAGGTCTTGGGCTCTTGGCTGCAACAGGGAGGAGGCACCGGTCAAACAAGTTCCTGTTTCCAGAATGTTAATTGTACCGTATTTCCTTGAACATCAGAATCCACTCGTGAGTTGGATTGGGATAGCTCAGAAATCATATCTGTTTAGGCCGCTGCACCCGAGGACCTTCTTGTTCTCTGCACGACACTTATTTTGGATCGGAGGGAGTAGTTTTTACTTTTTAGGTTTACGTTTTTCTGTCACACCTGTACTACAGTTTCACCAATGAAATTGGGGTCTTGCCCCTGAATCCAAGAAAAAATATGAGGAATTCATCTAAAAAACCCAAATGAAATTACGCATTTGCACAAGAGCATAACAAGTCCTGAAGGCATATATTAGACCTGAAATTCAGCATGTGCATGGTCCTAGCTGGCTATCCATCCTTTTCTCCCCCTTTCTTTTCTTTTCATTTCTTCTTTTTCCTTCTCTTTTCATTTCTTCATGCTCGTCTATCTAATCCACTTCTTTGAATTTGTTATGTTTTGCAGAGAGTTTTTGATCGTGCAAAGCCCTAGCAAACTGTGTGTCACCTCTGGGTCCGCCCAGCCTGCTGTTTCTGGGCTCCATGGTTGGGCAGACCTCCCGGATGGCCTGCTCGAATCCATTATTGCTCTGTCAGGATCCTTCCGTGACCTTCTTGCCTTCGCTGCGACCTGCCACTCTTGGCCTGCTGCATTCTCCTGATACCCATCCAAATCTTCTTTCTGCGCCAAATTCCTACCTCTCCTTATCCAATTCAATGCCTGTGTTCAAGCTCCTGATCTCCCTTCTAGCAATGGTCTTCATGAGCTACACACATTTAAGGTCATTGATCCGACCAATAAGAATGTCGCCCTTCGCTGCCAGATTCCTCGAGACATTTACCATGAGATGGATTTCGTTGGCAATTCCTATGGTCAACTAATTTTCCGCCATGGTGAATATTGTCTTCTTGTTGATGTGTTCAATGGTGCTGAGGTTTCAGCTCCACCTCTCCCATTCAATCGCGATTTCAGGGGGCTCAACTGCAGCGGCTCTCTTACAGCTCCACTTGCATCACCCAATTCACACCTCCTTGTCAGCACCGTAAACACCCTGTTTGATTGGCCAGTTGGAAGTGAATCTTGGTCTGAACTGCAGCTTCATAATACATGTATAGTACAGATTGTGGAATTGAAAGGTCAGTTCATCGCCATGGATGATTGTTGTAAGATCTACACTTTGCAGCTGTCCCCCGAGTTCGGTCTGCAAAAGATGACATGTGTGGATTTGCCAATCACATTTGTGGATTCATGGCTAGTGGTCTGTGGTGACATGCTTCTCATGATCACGAAGCATCCATCCTTTCCAAAAGTAAAATATATACCCTACCAACTTGACCTGTCAACCAACCCTGCAAAATGGGTTGAAGTAAAGCAGCTAAATGATTGGGCACTCTTTGTTGGATGTGCTGTGAGGAGCCGGCCATTTTCTTGCATGAGCCTAGAAAGATGGGGAGGGAGGAGCAAGTCGTTGTACTTCGCAGGCCATCACTCTTTTGTTTTACATGGATTGGGTATCGAGGGAGATGTAAAGTTAGAGCACAAAAGAAACTGGTTACGCAAGCTGCAGCCCCTCTGGGTGTACCCAAGGATGTTCTACTCAGACAGCCAGTGATCATCTCATGCCACTACAGGTTGCTGCTCTATGAGCCCCTGATAAAAATTTCCCCTCGCAACACAGAGCAGGGACTATCGCAACTTGGGTGGTGGCGTGGTGCCATTGTAGCACTACTTAAGAGTTTGTTCGGAATAGCACTGAAACTCTTGCAGTCAGTTTCGTAGCCCAGTATGTACAACCCAGTATTAATGTTAAGAGCTTGTTAGAAGTAGTCACGCTTCCAAGTTAGTGTTAGTTATAACTGTGTTGTTTAATTACGCACTGTATGATGTGTAGTACTTTGAACTACCGGTTGCTAGTCTATGCTCCACTTACTGACAAGTTGTAGACTGCATTGACTTAATTTTGCGCCATGTATTTCTGCATGTACTTGGCTTTCATCACTGAAACGGATGTGTGCAGAGTTCATCTCTTGTGAATGTTTAATTGGTTGCAAGTATTAGTACAATGCTAAAGAGCATGAAAACTGCCAATGTTGTTTTTGGAATGGATGATGAGATATTCTTGTGCATCAATTTCCTTTGTCCAGGGAGCTAAAATATAGACCTAACAACACTAGGTTCAACTGCAGTCCTGGATGCGTATCTTGCTGTGTAGGTGGTTCATTTTAACATGTTGCTGAATGATACTTTTTGATGAGAACCCTATGTGTATCTTCAGTTCCTTGACTGGCCGGCTCTTTAATTTGCTCATGTTGGAGAGAACACACTGTCTGAACATATGGTGTTTGTTCTGTTACTCCTATGAGGCAGTGCTCCTACCAAATATTGCTTTTGGCTCCTGAGCTCGAGTATTCCAACTTGTGTATCATACGGTTCCTACAAAATGGTGGGGGATTGGAGGGGAGCCAAAGTTCAAAATATTCGGCTAAAAAAAGTTCAAAAAAATTTGAGAGAAAAATACAAGTTCTTTTCATGATCAAAAGCCAAGTATAATTGTTTAGAATCAAAATATAAGACATAATTTCTTTCAGGGAAAAGTGAACAAGTTTGATGGCCGGAAGAAGATAGGAAATATTCAAACATACCCTTGAGAGAAAAAAACGTTAATTATGATTCTGAAGAGTGGATCGCATTTGAGTTGGGTATGCCGATGGAGGTAGACGCATCCAATCCAAGCGTCTTTATTTTCATAAACTGTGGCACTATGATACAAACTATGTGCATTGTGCCCAGTATGTTCTATTCGTGTCCATGACGATCGATGATCTTGATGCATTGGTTATTACTTGTTGCCGCAGTAGCTCCTCCTGTAAGATATCTCAGATTATGTAGGTTCACCCAAAACCTTTCGTATGTTGCATCATGGTGTCAATGCTCAGATATATATGGAGTATAATGATGTCATTGTCGATGTTTGGTCTCTTAGTTCTACCGGTTCGTTTCTTCTGAAATTTTGCTCTTCCTGCAGAGAATGGAACAGTGGTTCTTTTGCAGTTAGTGTAGGAGATGTTTTCGCAGATATAGTGGTGGCATCACTGGAGTCTGGAGTTTTTGCAGTTAGTTGCATCCTTGAGTGTTTAGAAGTTAGTAAGAGATATGTTTCTGTTATAAAGCCTCTAGATTAGCATGTTTATTGTGCAAAAAGTCCATTTCTTGTCAATTTTTGAACTTGATTGTACCCAGAAGGTGAGGAGCACCAAAAATATACACATGATAACATCAGTTGTGGAGGTAGTTCATGTGTGGCATGTTATGCATGTTTTCCTGCCTTGTGTACCGTCAGTTCCATGAATTGCATGGTCGCTCTCATGTTCAGAGATCACTAGTGTCTGTTCTCTCCCCTCCATGGAGAATAGGCGGGGCGCCGACAGAAAACAGCTTTTGGCTCCCGAGCTCGAGTGACCCTGGGATGGAAAAAGTCACGTTATACAGAAGTAAATCTGAGGAGTTATGCGTCGTCATATTGAAGTTGTGATTCCCACAACTAAACTTTTGTTTCTAGCTGTGTACAGGGACCAAATAATTCCTACATGGAAACTTGTTTGCTCCTAAATAGAAATTTACAATCGAAGGCTAAACATTCTTTAATATGGCATAATTAATATCTTTAAATCTGTAAATTGAAATTCAACAAATAATATATCTATTATTATCAAAAAAATGTGAGGAATCCAAATATGACATCATTAATTTTTAAAATCATTTGTCATATGCTGGAATCAATTGCTTCTTGGTGATGTGAACCGGATGAGAACTAATGAGCTTTCTATGTTTGCCTAAGCACAAGTGTCTGATCTGGATTCATTGTTAAAATGGTTATAATTTGTTGATCTGGTACTAGCTCAGGTATAAAATGGTGAATCCCTGAATCACTATATACAATGTCTGTCCAGTTGTAGCAACTACTGTTATTTGATTTTAGGAGTTGAACTTGAGCATGAAGTCACACGTTTCACCGTTTGAGTTTGAAACTATTATTCTAAAAAACAATAATTAGCTGGTAACACTAATATTTATTGAATAAGGGGTTTAACCATAGTTTGACCAAAAAGTAAAAAAAAACTTAAATTTGAGGATAACTTTTTTAGCTTTCAGAATTTGAGGATTCTAAAAATTTGCAAAATGGCCTATGGCCGTCGAAATGGGAATCGGCTTCTCGTGCTGAACATTTTGATATATTATACGTTTGTTTTGACATCGTATGCAAAAATTATAGTCGTTTTACTTTTTCATAACACTTTTTTGCAAAACATGTCGAATTTTATGTTTTAATTTTTTTTCCCAACTAGTACATGTAGTAACATAACTACATCCCGGAGGATTTTAATTTTTAAAGTTTTTATCATTTTCTTTTGTTTTTTTTTTCAAAATTGAAATGGCGATACGGAGAGGGGAAGGGGTTAGAGTTTAAAAATTGCGGAACCTATATAGTCCGGGATGGTGTCCATCAAATCCTACCGTCGACTACATCTGCTACCACTGCCCCAGCCAGAGTCGCAACTATGGTTAACCAAGCCAGAGTCACGTTCAATTAAAGTGACAAAAAGAATTACTTTTTAATATAGTAAAACGAATTCTATCAACTATTATTACAGGCTAAACAACTATTAATACAAAACAGTAGCAAAAATAATATTAATTAATTATAAAGAATTATCTACTGTTGTCTAACAGAAGCATACTACAACATGTTAAAATCTACAGAAAGAACTAACTAAAAATAATTAAAAACAACAATTAAAGGACTAAAACAACTATATAAGCAAAACAGTACTGCTTTAACTAAAATACTAATTTAAATTATTTTAAAAATAGCCAAATAAATCTTACTATGACTAGGAGCAAAAAGAATTAAATTTAAAACTATTTTTAAACTCAAGTTATTCACAATCTAGGGTTCAAACCAAATTTGAACAAATTCAAATTTAAATCATTCAAATTTGAAAACTAATGGCACAAACAGTAACTAGACAAAATTTTGAATCTAATGCAAAAAGAATCACTCAAAAACATCAAATATCCTAAAAGATATAAGCAATATAAAACTAAAACTAAAAACTAAAAATAAATGAAAAAACAAAAAAGAAACTTTAAGAACCACTTTAATCTCAGTTGGTGCCTCCAACCGGGACTAAGGTCTTGGAGCCACCAACCGGGACTAAACGGGTTGGCTCCAAACGGGACTAAAGGGGCTGAGGCTTTAGTCTCGGTTGGTGTCTCCAATCGGGACTAAAGGTCCCATTAAAACCGGGACTGATGCCTGCTCGGTGCCCTGGCCGCTTAAACCGGGACTAATGCTCACATTAGTCCTGATTCGTAATGCAATCGGGACTAATGTGTAGATTGAATTTGGACCAAAACCCTGCTTTCTACTAATGACACAAGGTGCGCAAGATTGACGGCACGATGTTGTACGGGTCGCGCACGTTCTTCTTCCTGACCGAGGACGGCACGCTCCGGCCAATCGCCATCGAGCTTACCAGGCCCGAGTCGCCGTCCAAGCCACAGTGGCGTGAGGTCTTTACGCCGGGGTGCGACGGCAGCGTGGCTGTGGCAGCTCGCCAAGACCCATGTCCTGGCTCATGACAGCGGCTACCACCAGCTCGTTAGCCACTGGTACGTAGTAATACACTCATTGTTACTCACGTCACCTATTAAGCTTCTGTCACCTGACCAGTGAACAATAGAGGAGTCCCCAAATTTCGGTCTACATACCACTTCCTCAATATTCCTTTCGTTTCGAATTACTTGTCGAATGTATGGATGTATCTAGATATATTTTAATTCTACATATATACATTTTTGCGACAAGTAATTTAAAACGGAGGGAGTACCTGATTTGGATTTGGACCAGTCTGACTGTTGCGTCTTGCGGGCAGGCTGAGGACACACTGCTGTGTTGAGCCGTACATCATCGCGGCGAACCGGCAGCTGAGCCAGATGCACCCCATCTACCGGCTGCTGCACCCGCACTTCCGCTACACCATGGAGAATTGGAGATCAACGCCCTGGGGCGCGGGATGCTCATAAGCGCCGATGGAATCATCGAGAGCGCCTTCTCGCCGACCAAGTACTGCTTGGAGCTCAGCTCAGTGGCTTACGACAAGTTCTGGCAGTTCGACAAAGAGGCTCGCCAGAGGATCTCATCCGGAGGTAACGCCTATCGACAGCGAAGATATATATGTTCTCATCTCATACCCAACATCGTCTTACATACTTTTATCCTGTGAATGATAAAAATCCCAAATTACTTCAGGGGCATGGCGACCAAAGAGGAGGATGGCAAGCTGAAGCTGGCCATAGAGGACTACCCGTATGCCAACGACGGGCTGCTGGTCTGGGATGCCATCAAGGAGTGGGCGTCGGACTACGTGGAGCACTACTACCCGTGCACGGACGGACATCGTCGACGACGAGGAGCTGCAGGGATGGTGGACGGAGGTGCGCACCAAAGGCCACGAGGACAAGAAGGACGGGCCGTGGTGGCCTCAGCTGGACAGCCACGAGAGCCTGGTCCAGGTGCAGGCCACCATCATGTGGGTCACGTCGGCGCACCACGCCGCCGTGAACTTTGGCCAGTACCCCTTTGCCGGGTACTTCCCGAACCGCCCGACCATAGCCCGGAGGAACATGCCGTCCGAGATGGGCGTTGAGGACATGGACGCTTTTGAGGAGGCGCCGGAGAAGGTGCTGCTGGACACGTTCCCATCGATGCACGAGAGCATATTGGTCCTTGCGATAATGAACCTCCTGTCGTCTCACTCGCCGGACGACGAGTACATGGGCACGTACCAAGATCCGGCGTGGGAAGAGAACGTCAAGATCAGCAAGGCGTTTGGCAAGTTCAAAGGGGGGATGATGGAGATCGTGGCGCAGATCAACGAGTGGAACAAGGATCGCAAGCGGAAAAACCGGCACGGTGCCGGTGTGGTGCCCTATGTGCTGCTCAAGCCGTCGGATGGTGATCCCATGGACGAAAAGATGGTGATGGAGATGGGCATTCCCAACAGCATCTCCATTTGATGGAGCTGCGTGCGGGGATCTGGTAGTTTTATGCTTGCTAGTCGAGCGTGCACTTGTGCAAAATCCGGTGACCTCTAACCGTAAGTAAGGTGCTCAACCTGCATGCTATCTCAAAACAGTAGTGGAGTTTTTTTTTTTCAGTTTTCGCTTTATTTTGAGTCCTTTTACAGTACATCTAAGGGACAAATAAGTAATATAAGCCATCCATTTTGAGTCATTCAATGGACTAGAATCGGTAGTATATTTTGTTGGGTAAAATTGGAAGACACACAAAACAAATATCAAAACTCTATATGCATTCAGAAGCCTGTGTGTTTTCTTCTCCTCCCCTGATTGGAGACTGGCCCAATCCAGCCGAGTACTTTTTGACGGAGAGGAGATACAACATAGAAGATTGTAGCCTGTAGGTAGTGTCGTGGTTCTAAGCCTGACAGTAGAGTGGGGGTAGGTATGGAGAGGCAAGGTCCTAGCTATGGAGAGGTTGTAAGCACAAAGGATGTACGAGTTCAGGCCCTTCTCGGAAGAAGTAACAGCCCTACGTCTCGGAGCCCGGAGGCGGTCGAGTGGATTATGAATGTATGAATTACAAGGTGCCGAACCCCTCTGCCTGTGGAGGGGGGTGGCTTATATAGAGTGCGCCAGGACCCCAGCCAGCCCACGTAGGAGAGGGTTTAAGGTGAGTTAAGTCTGGGGCGTTACTGGTAACGCCCCACATAAAGTGCCTTTACTATCATAAAGACTACTTGATTACAGGCCGTTGCAGTGCAGAGTGCCTCTTGACCTCCTGGTGGTCGAGTGAGTCTTCGTGGTCGAGTCCTTCAGGCTAGTCGAGTGAATCTTCGTTGGTCGACTGGAAGGCGACCTCTTCTAAGGATGTCCTGGGGTAAGTTACTTGGATCAGGTTCATGACCCTACCCTAGGTACATAACCCCATCAGGTAGTGGATTGATCCTTGCCGGCCGATTCTTTGGGCACCTTTAGTCGCGGTTGGCCCTGGCCAACCGCGACTAAAGCCCGCGAGCGCCCTGGGCCCAGGCATTTGGTCGCGGTTCATCTGCCGAACCGCGACTGAAGACTTCATTAGTCGCGGTTCCTACAGTTTCGCGACTAATGAGGCTGGACGGAAGCCTCTTTTTCTACTAGTGAAATCACCATGTACAAAGCTAGCCTCCTAGATTGATTGATCATGTCCGTGATAAGCCGATTGTTTTCCAGCGATGACGCGTGTACACAAGCCGGCGGTTGCAACCGCTGCACACAAGCAACGTAGGCACACAACGGCGCTCGAATCTCGCCCGAACACGTCAATAGGACCTCGTTGCCACTAGCGACGCACATTCGGGTGATGCTGAGCCGCAAGCAGTAGCTCGTATCTCACTTGTCTAATCTGAGAACCATGCGAACCAGGCGAATATGAAACGCGGTACTGCGGTGCCATCGCCGTCCACATCGATAGCGGTGACACGGTTGGGAAAGGTCCATTGTTCCGACGTCAAAGCAGCCATGGCACTCGCGTGGCCCCTGGACACAGCAGGGGCAACGTGAGCCTCTAAGGAAGCTGCAGCGACGACGGAGCCTGGGGTCTTGAACCACGACCGCTCCTTCGTCTTGGACATGAGCCGTCGTTGACTGGCGACGGCAACCACGAAGCCTGACAAGGACGGTCATGGCGAGGCATTTTATAAAGGGAGCGTCTAGGAAGCAGCCGGGTGCTCCCTAGCGTTTCCTAGCAGTCATCCAGAAAAAGTAATTTTCCGTCCTCCCTGTCCAGGATAGGAAAGTACCTGGCCCCCGCTTCCGATTCCCGCAGCCACCCATCGAGCGGGCAAATCACCTGGTCCTTCCCTTCGCCCGATCCCTCCCCCACCCCTGCGCATCTTCTTTTCTCCTTTCTCCTCACCTAACCCCCAGCCCCATCTTCTTCTCTCCCAAGCAAAGAAAGACAGCACGTCCTTCCCCTCACCACTTCCAGATTCAAGAAAACCTTCACAGCCCTCCAATGGCGGCTCCATTGATATTTCTTCTCTAGGCGCCTCGTTCTTGATTGCCTTGCAAAAAGGCAAAAAAAAACAAGGCAAAAAGGTCAGATTTAGCTCGTCTTCCAGATCCCCCTCCTCTTTCCCCACGATTTGTACAAGGCTTCAGTTGTGCAAAACATTGTGTAAAAAAGATGTGATGTTAAGCATGTTTAGTCTGCTGTTTGGGCAAGTTTCAGCCCCCTGATTTGGGCAAATTTGTTCTGATGTTAAGCATCATATTTCTTCCCAGTTTTCAAAATCTATTTGCAAATCTGTTGCATATGAACACATTTATAAATCTGTAGGTGCTGATAGTAAAAGCTGACAAAAATATTAGGAAAATATAATGCCTTAAGCAAGAAAAACAACAGAGCAAAAAACAGTACTTATAAGAGGATGAGAAACAAACAGATCATGATCTATTTCTGATGTGTTCTGGTTCTATTAATTGCTTATAACCGTGCAAAAATAAACATTCTGTTTGAGCAAAAACAGTGCTATAATGAGGCAACTAAGTATATGTATGCACAAAACTTTGAAAACTTATGCCATGGCAAAACATGAACACTTTTGAAACTTATAAGACAATGAATACTGACATCAGTATGGCTTATTGGAGCAACTTACATTATAGGATTAAGCAAAAAAAGCATAATGATGTCAAGGCAACTCTTGAAGAAACTAGAAAAAGATTCCTCTTGGACATTTGTTTCCATTATTCCTTGGTTTCGATAGTGAAAACACACAAGAAGAAAATAAATGTAACTAAACCTGCAACTAAAAAACAAGAGACAGTTGCGTAGTACAATTTACCTTTGTTGTATCATATCCTTCACCATGATCCAAGAAAAGTTGGAAAGTTGCCAGGATACAGTGGCAAAATTATTAGTATTTCATCCTGCAAAAGAAGGAAAAAGCCAACAAGAAAATCCATATACCAACAACTATCTCATCTGCGAAACGTTACTTCAAAACATACTAAGCATATCCAAAAACACACAAACTTGCTGCTGTAAAAGATGAAACCTAAAAATGTCAACTTAAGTTCTTTCTAACACACAAACATAAGTACTGAAAGCAGAAATAGTCTGAATATAAAAGAGAAATCATGCCCATAATTCTAACTTAAGTCTTTCCTAACACTAAACATGTTCTAATCTCTCTGAATTGGGAGTGAATTCCATTCTGAAGACACTTCAAAGTAGCACTTCTATGGCAGTATGCTTGCTTCCCCAAAATCAAATGTTGCCTGCGTTTAAAGAAAAACAAAATAAGAAAATATATTATGAAACACAAAAAACAAAAAGCCTATGTTATGTTTATATGTACAAACATGGTTCATTAATACAAAAAAAAAACCATGCATATCCTGAAAATAATATATTGCTTGATATATATAGTTTGACTTGCCTGATTATATGGTTTGGGTTGCCTGATAGTGCACTTTGAATTGCCTGGTTATGTTCAATTGCTATCTTGTGAATCTGGTGTGCTTACGTTGCTGTGTTCTTTGCTTGCCTGAGTTTAGTGTGGTACTAGCTTGCCTCAACAACGTAAAAATTGCTTTAATTTTTCTGGTTGAAAAAATGCACAGGTTGAACATGATTGAGCTATTTATGTGTGCTTTGGTGGGTGAGCTATTGGCTTGCCTGTATTTACTGTGCTACTTGCTTGCATCCCTCTGCTGACTTGCTTTACTTTTTCCCATATTCTCAATAAATAAACAGGTTGACAATGATTGACCTGAATGAAGAACCAGCTGAAAATAATGATGATCCATTGTACTGTACACAACATGCTGCTGGAAATGCAGAATTTGTGGTGGAATCACCTAATCCCCCTATCATCCAAAGAGTCGATGGTGCTGCTACAGAAGCAATGGAGACAGATGGGCAGTCAAGTCATGGGGGCCGTGCTCCGGGCAGTACACAAGTACCTGCAGCTATAGCAGGTGGGAGTGATGCTCATACCCTTGATGGCACAGGTGCTGCAGGTGATACCGGTGGCACTGTTGGTAATGGTTTGGGTGTTGAAAATGATGATGAGGCTTGGTCACAGCCCAAGGAGCCTTATGTGGGCATGAGGTTCGACACTTTGGAAGATGCCAAGGAGCATTACAATGCATATTCCTTGCAAATGGGGTTTTCAATCAAAATGAATAGTTCAAGGAAGGATCTCAAAACCGGGGAGTTGATAAAACAACAGTTTGTTTGCAACAAGTTTCGGAAGCCTGATGTTGATGACGGAGGGGCAGAAAAGATTCCTGTGCTAGATGACATTGTTGAGCAAGCAAAAGATGATAATGAAGATGAGGCTATTGTCTTTCTTGATGATGATAGTAAAGGCAAAAGGAGGAGCAAGAAACGAAAAAGAGATAAAATTATGCAAACTGGTTGCAAAGCTAAGATGATTGTGAAGGCAATAGATGGCAGATGGGAAGTGATCTACTTTGTTAGCAAGCACAACCATCCGTTGGTTGACAAGCCATGTTTGACTAAGTATTTGCGATCACACCAAGGGATCCCGCCAGAAGAAAGGGCCTTCCTTACTCATCTTCATAACTGCAATTTAACTACAGGTATTGAACCACACCCACCTCCCCCCTATCTTCTAACTTTAAGAACCTGGACATGCCTACTGGTTGTGTGTTTCTTAGTCTATCAACAAGTACCCGTTTTTGCTTGAAACATGTCACTGATTTGCTTCAAACAAATGCCTTAGTTGCTTGATAGTGCCACTAAATTGCTTACAACAGTACAAAAAAGACATAAAATGCCTGATTTGTTTCTGGATGCTGGACTTGCCTAATGTTTACCTATTTGTTGCTCAATGCAAAGTTCCTGCTTGCCTAGTTTTTTTATAAAACAAATTTGGTGTTGAATCTGAACTTTCCTATGGTTAGTCTCTTTGTAGCTAAAATGTACAATAGTACTTGTTTCTGGATGGGGTTAACTTGCCTATGATTGAAATTTGTATTGCTCA